GAAACTCAGTTTAGCTGGATACAGGATCCTGGGTTGAAAGTTATTTTGTTTTAGGAGGTTAAAGTTCGATGACCACCCTCTTCTAGCTTGAAAGCTTTCAGCAGAGAGATCTGCAGTCATTCTAATATTCTTCCCTTTGTAGGTTATGGCTTTCTTATGTATGGCTGCTTGCAGAATTTTCTCCTTTTTTTTTTTTTTGAGACAGAGTCTCAAGCTGTCCCCCTGGGTAGAGTGCCATGGCATTACAGCTCACAGCAACCTCCAGCTCCTGGGCTCAAGCGAGTCTCCTGCCTCCGCCTCCCACGTAGCTGGGACCACAGGCGCCCGCCACAACGCCCGGTTATTTTTTGGTTGCAGCCGTCATTGTTGTTTGGCAGGTCTGGGCTGGGGATTCAATCCGCCACCTTAGGTGTACGTGGCTGGCGCCTTAGCCGGTTGAGCTATAGGCGCCGAGCCCAGAATTTTCTCCTTAATATTAACTTTCACAGAGTTAATTCTAATGTGCCTAGGAGATGTTTTATTTGGGTTGAGTTGTGCTGGGGTTCTGAAACTGTCTGCTATCCTAATTTCAGAATCTCTTGGCATGTCTCATGAAGTAGAGCATCTGTGCCTTCTGAAGCAATCTCATGGCCTTCAGGAATTCCTATAAGGCGAATATTAGTTTTTGTCGAAGTATCCCAGAGCTCTCTGAGAGAATGATATGTTTTTGCTCTCCACTTCTCTTCCTCTTTCAGCATTTGGGAGTGTTCAAAAGCTTTGTCTTCAGTGTCAGAAATCCTTTCTTCTGTCCACCCCATTCTGTTACTGAAGGATTCTAGTGTATTTCTCAAATCTTTGAGGGCTGCAAGTTCTTGCCTCAATATGTCAAAATCTTTGGTGATTTTTGTCTTTGAATTCATTGAATTCTTGAGACAACTTTTGAAATGCTCCTTGAATTTCTAATTCCAACTTTACCTCCATTCTATTAATCTTGTTGCAATCCAAATTCTGAATTCAATATCTGACATCTCAGCCATTTGTTTATGAATGGGATCTTCAGTGTGTCCACCATGCTGTTCTTTGGGGGAGTTGATCTACACTGGTTATTCATGTTACCAGAGTTTTTCCACTGATTCTGCCCCATGATTATTTTACAGTGTTTGGCTAGATGAGCTGATAAGGTGAAGTTGGTTTGGAGGCTCCTGGAGTAGTGATTAACTAGCCCTTTGCCCAAGTGCTGGGACTGATGTCTGTACCTTTTCCCCTAGTGTTTTGAAAAGGACCCATAGAGTGCTATGGCCTAAGACACTGGAGACCTGCTTGATGTGGTTGGGCTAAGTCGCTCCATCTTGTTTTCATCTGGTCTCTGTGCTACCCTAGTGAATCAGTTACTCTGGGTTGAAGTCTTAGCTGTGGAGTAATACCAGCACTTATGTCACTCCACCCTCCATGGACAACAACTGGAAAAGTAAAATCAAACCTTGCCACAACCACACACTCATGGTACCACTTTGGATAGTCCTTGGGTGATTGGCCCAGTTCAAGAGATCCAAATCAATCATCCCAGTCAGCACCCCATCTCAGGTGGGAGAGTTCAAAAGGTCTCTGGCAACTAGATAATAGGGGTCGGCTGGCAACTCAAGTATGATTCACTCCAGTGCTCGATGGAGTTAGAAGGATCCACACAGCAAATGTATTAGTCTGGGAAGGTTGATGCCTCCTTCCCCACCTCACACCTCTGTCACACCCAGAGGGTGTGGGCTGGTTAATCACTACACCAGGAGCCTCCAAACCAACTTCACCTTATTAGCTCATCTAGCCAAACAGTGTAAAATAATCATGGGGCAGAATCAGTGGAAAAACGCTGGTAACATGAATAACCCTGCAGGGCTGTCATCCAGTTCCTTTCAATGAGCAGATGTTCCAGGGGTTTGTGCCTGCCTGAGTCACAGGGAGATCTCTGTCTCTTTGGCCAAGCTGCTGCTCTCTGCCACCATCTGGCAGGGGGACCTGAGGCCTGACAACCTCAGGCACTTAATGGAAGCTGGGCAGTTCACTCAGTTCCAGCTCTGCCCCTGATTGATGTTGCTGACACTTCCATTTTCACAGAATTTGTTTTGTTGGGACCTAAATTGCCACTGAGAGATCACCATACACACATGTAAAAACATAAGAGTGCCTTTATTCAAGCAAATGCCTGGGTCACTCCACTCTACAGCATAGCTGCAGAGTAGGGTGACCCCGAAGTGAAACTAGGGGAGGTTTTTAAAGCATATAGAGGAATTTCACTGGGTGTTTTGTCAGGAGGGGTTGCTATTGGCTGAGCTGTTTACAGTTAGGGACTTTCTGGGGGTGGAGTTGCTTGTCTGCTTCTGATAGACTGGCTCCTTCTGGGCTGATTGACCTTGCCCAGAAGTGTGGAGAAGGGATGCCTGTCCCCTTCTGATAGACTGGTTCCACCTGGGTGACCTTGCCCAGAAGGGGAGTTGCTGTGTTTTTTTTTTTTGTTATGGGCTTTAGTTCTAAAATGAAGTTACATTAACCTCTTCAGTTTCTGCCATGGCTATATTCCCCTGTGGGCCAGGCATTGTTTGAGTTCACAGAAACTGTGACTCAGCCCTGGTCTGTGCCACTGCCTGGAGCTGGCATGTCTGTCTCCGTTGCACTCTGTGTTGGGGCAGGCGGGGTTAGAGCTCAGTGTGAGACAGGACAACTGTCTCTCCCTGCCTGCTTTTGTCTCAGCTATGATCCCCTGGGTGCTGGGTGCTGCTTAGGCTCACTAAAGCAGTCCTTCTGGCTCAGCCCTGCCCTGGGAGTATGCTGTGTCTGCACACTGGTATTCTAGTCTCTGTCTCTGCCATGCCCCACCTAGGCAGGTACCACCTCAGGCATACCCTTTACTCATGGGGTCTGAGTTTCTGTCCTAGATCTGTTCTGCCAGTGGCTGCCACTGGAGAAGATGCCTGTCTTCCTCTGGTTGCCCAGAGAGGTAGGGAGTATCTCTCCAAAATATCCCCTGGGGTGTGAGCCCTATTGTTCCTGTCACTGCTGCTGCTCTGTGCTGCAGGGCACTACCTCTCCCTCTCCCATATGGTTCCCTCAGTTCACTGTTCTCTCCTTACTTCCATGCCACAGAATCAGCACAGACCTGTAATAGCCCATATCCTATCCACACCTCTCAAGAAAATGCCCAAGTTTCTGGACTCCATGGGGCACAGGCTTCTAGATCTCAGTGTGAGAGTAGAAGGGAATGCTGGGAGTTCAGAGTTTCAGGTAGAGAATATATACAATTTTATACAGTTTTATGCCTGGCAGGAAAGTGCCACAGCACACTGGTAGGTCCTCTCTGGGGAATGAGTTCTGGTTTTTAGAGGGTTTCTCCTGTGGGATAAAATAGGAGGATATCTGCTGTCTGCTCAAATAAACTCTTTAAAATTTTAACGTGCTGTAGTTTAACAGCTGAATGACATTTTTGCATTTTCTACATTTGTTTGTAGAAAGTATGTTCTCATGGGGGAGGGTACTCCCGTCCACTTGGTGATGTATTTTATACCTATTGTTTGTTTCCTTGGGGTCACAGCTAGCCTCAGCAGGGTTGATGTGCATTCTTCAACCTTCTCTCTTGGCTCAGCTCCAAACCATCAGTTCACTTGCTAAACTTCTGTCCTTTAACTCTCCTTCTGGATGGGACCCTCTGTGGAAAGTTGGCTACAGTCAGCCATCTTGCCTCTGCCCCTCCTCCCTTTCTTTTTTTTCTGAGAGCAGGAGATAAAATTCCTATGTGAAAGGTGTCCTTCCTGTGTTAAAATAATTAATTCAGAGGTCCTTAGGCTGAAGTAGCTCCATTGCCCTGGGTTCCTATGTAAGCAAACCAAAACAGAACTCATTGTAAATGATAAAAAGAAACAAGTTTAGCCATAAAAAGTGCCAACTAAACCCTAACGAGTGACCTTCCACTGGAATGATCTAAATAACTATACTGCTTTATTTTAACCAATCAAATATTTTCTTTGCCTTGCTTCTGCATTTATCCTATGAAAGCCTTCCCTTGTGTCCCTTCATTGGATCCTCAACCTACCTGTGGTCTGGAGTTGCCCAATTCATGAATTGCTGTCTGCTCAAATAAACTCTTTAAAATTTTGACGTGCCGTAGTTTAACAGCTGAATGACATTTTTATCACCAGAGATGGGAATCAAAGCTGAGAAAAATTTGTGTAATTTTGTTTAACTGTTTCCTAATCACTTTTTCACAATTAACTGCTATAACCCCCCCAACTCCTTTGTCTTGTCATGTTCTCACAATTTACTACTCTAGGTGGGATGCAGTGACTCATGCCTGTAGTCCTAGTTACTACAGAGGCTGAGATGGGGAGATCCTTTAAGCTCAGGAGTTTGAGGCTCAGTAATCTATGATCTCACTTATCCACTCCACCATAGGTAACAGAGATCCTGTGTCTTAAAAATAAAATTAAAATCTTCAAAATTCACTACTCTTTGTCCAATCTTATATATGTATTTGGCTCTAACTGGTTCATGGATCTTCATTTTGCTTGTGAGGGCTTTCATGTATGTGTAAAAATTACTAAATAAAATTTGTATGCTTTCCTCCTGTTAATATGTTTTATGTCCATTGTTTCATTGTTAAAGCCAGCTGGCAACCCTGACAGGACAGGGAAGAAATTTACTTCCTTTACACTTTCAAAATTATATGCTCTTATAAAATGAGTCTGAAGACTGAAATATTTGTGAATAAGAGAAATTCATTAAAAGAAGTTAAAACTCATGAGGTTTATTTTTGGAAGGTGGAGGTGGGGTAATTTTGATCAGTATTTCCATTAAAAAATAGTTATTCATAATCCACATTTTCTCTTTTTTGGGCCTATTCACTTTTAGTTTCCAGATATCAATTTTTGAGTATTTTTAAAAAGAAAGAAATATGCCTCTATGTGTCCACTTAAAGCCAACAATCTAAGAAGGACAGAAGGCTCACTGGTTGAATCTCACATAGCAGCTTTATTTACTCATTGTGCATTTTCCTTTTTATCTGTATTAGCAAAAGTCAGGAAGATTTGTTCCAGTGATATCTGATGGACAGAATAGTCTTCTAAATTGAACATCACTTTAGCTTCCTCCAAAACATTAAACACCTTTAACAGAAAAAAATGGTGAAGTTACTACTATTGTTATGTTTCCAGATAATTTTTTCCCTTATCCTACCAACCCCAACTCCTGCCAAATTTATGCTTAGTGACAAAAAGATACAAAAGGGGGAAGTTAGAAAATAGAAGGGAAAAATGATTGAAAAATAGAGGAGAGGAGGCAGTTCTCCGTCCCCATTTTCTTGATGGGCATGATATACCAATAGAATTTAGGGTCAGAAGTCTCAATCAACTAAACTAATAAGGCCTTTGGAAAGTAACTTAAAGTTACTGCCACCCTGTCAATGTCCAGTTCCTATTCCACATGCTTGAATTCCAAAACTGCCTAGAAGTCTTCTATTAATACATGATGTTACAAGGGTATGATTAAAACAATCACCTTTCCCCAGCAAATTTCCTGACTGGGAATGTAGTAGCCAAGAATCCCTTGATACTCCTGGTTTATTATGCTACCTAAAAAAGGAAAGATTTTGACAGGTGAGTAACATGAGAGGGGCCCAGTATTTCATAGAGTTTTAAAATATTACCAGGTAATTCCTATTCCAATTTTCCACACCAAAGGAAGGGAAAATATACGCAGTTAATACAAATGATGATGCAATCCCAAAGGTTGTAATCTTTAGTACACATAACCTTAAATATTTTGATAGATTTACTTCCTTGTGAAATATGGTCTTATTTCTTGTAGTTTGTAAAAACTGCAAAAGGTGGGAGGGGGGCAGAGAAAGATGGTGACCAGTGACAGCTCCTTTGCAGCTACTGAGTGGTGAAATTGAGGAGAAGGGATTCCACTTAACCCCCTGGCTTCTGAGCCCTGCCCAGAAACATTAAACTGGGGACATAGGGAAGTAGCAGGAGACTCTAGGAGCTGATGAGGATATTGGGAGCAGTGGAGAATCACAGAGAGGGCAAATACTTGTATATCGGTAGAGGCTGGCAGGTTTGGTAGTTTTTGGACAGAGAGGTCTGCTCCCAGGCTTTTTCTTTTTTTGGACCTGGGCACTTGGTGGAATTACCTAGGGAGAGCTTAGACAGGTGAACAAGTGATCTTGAAGAGTACCCAGGGGCTGGGACTGAGCCACCAGGCACAGTAGAGATCTTGTTGTTCAGCTACTGTCTGGGTGCAGCCATCGTGGGAGAGCTGCCTTGCAGGATCAGCCCACAAGGTCCCAGTGCAAGGCCAGTTCTGGTACACCTGCTAAGTTGGGCAGCCACCCATGGGGAGACTTGAGTGACACATGCTTTCCTGGTATAGCAACTGCGTGGCCAAGGAACACAGTTTAGAAAGGCTGAGGTGTGTCTATTAAGCAGGTTGATGAGACCTTCAGGCTCTCAACCCTGTGGGGATTGAGGGCAAAGAAATCAGGAATATAGGACTTAGTCTCCTTGGCAAGATAGGGGTTTCTAGCCCCCATCTTATACAGCCATATCAGTGTCATGATTAGCATATCATACCCCAGAAAAACACCTGTTCTCTAAGTAATATATGACTATATATGTATTTGTTCCTTTCAAAAATTTTTTCCAAAAAATTTCCCCTAGATTTCTTTCTTTCTTTTTTTTTTTGTAATTATAATTTTTCATTTTTTCCTTCTTCAATAGCAAGGCCCCATTTTTGTTAGTTTTCCTTCTCTTTTCTCCCTAGTTTTATTCCTCAAGTTTTTTTGTTTTGTGTTATTTGATGGTATTTTTATTTTTACATATTTATTTTCTTCAATGACAAAGGCTCATTTTTGCTAAAGTTTTCCTACCTCTGTTATTCTTTCTTTCCTTTCCATTTCTCTTTCTCTCTTTCTTTTTGTAAAGCTCTTTCTACTTTTCTTATCTTTCCCACATAAATTTGTCAAATAACAACTAAGATAAACCCCCATTTTTTTTTTACTTCTTATATAACTCTTATTTTCAATTCTCTTTATATATTACTATTATTATATCTTTTTTCTGTTCTATTTTACTGTTTGTCAATTAATATTCCATTTATGGAATAGAGCCTCACTCTGAGTCTTGGACTGTGGTACCACAACATTGGCCTGGCCCTAGGAGAATTGATCTCCTGGTAAAGGGGATCCTTCTAGCTTTGGCCTTTGAAAGGATGCCAGTGGTAGGTCCCCACTGTGCTAAACTGCTGTTTTTTGGCCTTTCCCCCCTTTCTCTATTTGGTGGAGGTGAGGTCTTGGTGATCTCAAGGGACCTACCAAACTTAGTGGGCTTTTCTAGGTTCCCTTGTGAACCAGTGCCTTCTAAGGATGTGTAACAAGAAATCCGCTAAGAACTTTGGTGAAAGATTTTATTCCTAACTAAAAGATAGACTCTAAAGGAGAAAACCTTTTGCTTCCTACTTTAAGCTTTTGCTTAGGATTGAAATATCTGGTGCAACAACAATCCATGTTGTACTCATTGAAGACATTGCCATAAAAACAGAAAGAAAACATGATAAAGATTCCATGGGGAAGACAGAAAGCATCTGGGCTCTTGATAACATTGGTGAAGTAATACAAAAGCACTAGATACCTAGCATCTTAAGTGTAATTTAAAAATTGTTCAGTGGCCTCTGAGATGTTTACAACAGCTTTCCTAAGTTGCTTAACCCCAACTAGTTCCATGATTTTCACAAACAAGAGAAGTCCAAAATGTGACCAATATTCAGCAAGATCTTGTTGGTTTGAAGAAAGGTGTTTCCCCTAGACTGTTCATAATATATATGGAGTCAGTCTTGAGAATTCCTTTTGTCATGTTTCTCATAGTATAGGTACTTTTCCATTTCCAGGAGAGGACACTGTAAATTCTGATAGGATAGTCTTTGTTTATGCAAAGCTAAGTAAGTGTAAATAGGTGGCATTTCTGATGTTTTTATGTAACTTATGTAGATGTTACCTAATAGCATGTGATTTCTCTGACAGTGAACAGTTAATAATGTCACAGTCACACTGAGGATTGCTAAAGCCAATGATGAATAGATGGTTGTATGTTAAACTCTGTATGTATGTGTGTGTGTATATATATATGTATAAAATCACTGATCAATGTATGTGTATAAATGACAGAATTTAGAAAATAGTTTTATAATAAAATTTACTGGAACAACCTAGGATTCAGCTACAGTGAAGATGTTTTTTCACAAAAGTTGCCATGAGAAATATAATATGCAACACACAAGGTGGAACCAAACTTCTGGGATTACCTTGTCATATGCCAATAATTAGGCTGTACAACTTTTTAGGAGTGGTAAGCTAGTTCCATTGTTTATAGGAAACGTGGATTAGTCTCGCTCTAGATGAATAACCTGGCTTGGATACTGACTAAATTCATGCTAAAAAAATATGTGTCAGCCATGGAAGCAGATCCAACAATTTAAGCAGTTTCCCAAAATAGTAAGAGTGTGGGTCAGAATTAGAGATAAGTTATTTTTCCTTCTTCCTCAGGCTATTAGCGCAAGACTTTCTCGAGTTTTGATGATTTTTATTTTTATAGAAGTCATTTGTTTTGGCCAAGTTTTTTAACTTAAGGTTTTGTCTGTTCAGGTAAAGATTAATGGCAATGTAGGGATAAAAACCAGCTACTTTGGAGTCACATATTCTTTTTTTAACCAATGAAGGATCCAGAGGAAATGGATGTCAAGCATTTTGTAGGTCTATCTGGTGAGGTTTTGGGGAGCCCACACAAGTGAAAAAGATAAAGGTTTCTATTGACCTTCTCAGGGTAATAATCAGCTTCTTAAGAAGAATCTAAGAATATTTGGTAACATTCATTTTCAAACTAGGGAACCACTGTTTTCCACAATTAGGGCATTGTGAATTATTTGAGAAGATTTAGACCTAGAAAGAAGATAACAACAAGCAATGTAACAGTAAGAGGCAACAATGACAAAGATACAAACAACCAGTCCTACTATAAGTTTGATTTATCAATTTCTCAGTTCAAGCAACATTACTTGGAGAGGGCTAAATTTGGCTTGCATACCTCAGAGAAATTCTTCAAGATTTTCTTGTGTATTTTTCACTCAATTGCAACACAGCCTATGACTCAGAGACCAATCCAGTCTATAATATTAACAGGCACTTATCATGTTTGCAGTCACTGGCAGCAGAAATATCAGAATACCTTCCTTCAGGGAAAGGGCCAATATGGCAGACTAGCAGTAGCCCCCACATGCTGCTCTTCAGGAGGACTGACAAACACAAGTAGATGCTCACCTATGATGGGCCCTCTTGAACAGAGCATTGTAAATCATCAGAGAACTGATGGGAGACACAGAGTGAAGCAGATGAGGATGGGGAGTTCCACTGACCAAGGTTGGAAGGCATCTCAGGGAGACTCTAACAGGGAAGAGATAAATGAGAGAACCCCAAAGCCTCATACTCCCCTTCTGGACAATGTGACTGGAGTTATGAAGGGCTCCCCTCAATCACTGTGGGTTCCATACTTGTCAGGAAACTGCTTAGAGAGTGTTTAGTAAATTTGCATTGGAGAGTAGGCAAGGCACACCTCAGACCTGCTAGGCCATGTTTGGTGGTTTTGTCTGCCAGCCAATAGGCCTTACCACAATGATACTGACCATTGACTAGTAGAACAAGCCCTTGGTTCTGCCTGCTGGTCAGCAGGCCATGTCCCCATGGCATTGCATAATGCCATGCTTGCAGTTCAGGTCTCCACCATGGACTTGCTAGTTACAAGCCACCCTCAGTCACATACTGCCATTACATCTAGACCCGGATAAAGTGAACAGCCATAGCCCTGACACCTGTGGCTACTGTCTAGATAGCCTTGCCAAATAGTCGCTGGGATCACTGCAGGGATATCTGGGCAGAGAAATTTCTTGCTATGCCTGCCTCAAGGTCCTCCAACAAGGCCTGGGGACCAACCTATAACTCCGCACGAAGATCTACCAGCACTGACCCAGGCACTACAGCACACCCAGACACTGGCCAAGGTCCTGAGAAACACTCAGGCCCCCGCCAAAGTCCCACAACCTGCTGTGTTACCAACTGTGGTCCTTTGATATACCCAGGTACCTGACAAGATCCCAAAACCCTTCCCCATGCATTAAGACATGTCAAGGGACCATGACTTACCCTGGTGCCAGCCACACCACTTACCTCCATGGAGAAGGACTTGTGCAGCCCCTTTCCTGAACTTCCAACAGTGGCCTGGGGTAAATATACCAATCCAAACAAATATTTCCGAGCGTCAGCATAGATGTGACAACCATGGGAGACTGAGATGATGGAAAATGGCTGTTGCAGGCTCTCAGTACATCTGTCACTCTCCCACCAGGTCAATCAATCATCTGGACTAAGACCCAAAAGCGCTATCTAGAGACCTTATTTCCTTCTAAGTAGGAGAGCTCCTAGCAAAGGAGAAAAGGTACACTGCAAAACTATTATCCTTGAGCTGAGAGAAGATATTTCAGATGAGAAGAAGCAGCAGAAAAATTCTGGCAATGTGAAAAATCA